CAAAAAAAAAAAAACACCCCGCACCCCCCCTAACCACTAAGTACCCCCCGAAATATCAATTAGTATTTCAGTCAATGCAAATAGATTCAACAATTAACACAGAAACAAAAAGAAAACAACCACCCAACTCGTCAAGCAAAAAATAAATTAATAAAAGAAACAAACGCAAAAAATAAAATTAAAAATGTGAACAACAATTAAAGATATAAAACCACAGACCTGACAAAAATGGGCACGAAACGTCGCGCACACGACGTGCATCACTCGTAACTGGAAATGTACATGGAAAATGTAATGTACATGAAAAGTCGTGAACCACGCGAAGTACCTGTCACTGAAATCACACATGAAAAATGTAACATAGTACAACGTATCCTACTGCTAATGCACTGATACCACATACCGAAAAAAAAACAAGAAACAGTAGCCTACCAGTCGTGTCGTAGCTGCCGAGATACTATACTCAGTCTGCTGCAACCAACGCTACTCTACGAACACCCTACTGGTACCAAAATCATACACACCAAAAATGAAGCAAACAACAACTACAGCACGCACACTACCACTGAGTATCTAACAATACAAAGACAAGACGACACGACCAAAAAAAGCAAAACCGCACAACATGATGCATTACAGTGCGAGTACGGGAAAAGCGGAGTGATGGCCTCACGGTCAATGACCCTTCTTCCCCTTCCCGCTCTGTCTCCTCGTACCCCCTCGAGTGCCGGATGTCGATCTTCTCCTCCCTCGAGCGGATGAAGAAGTTTGCGCAGCGGAGCGTCTAGATGCACGCGTCGGCGGGGGAGGTTGGGGCCCATCGTCGTCGTAGTCGTCGTAACCACCGGAACCGCTCTCGCTCTCCTCCTCACCCTCCTCCTCAGTCGTCGCCTGTGCTAGCACCTCCTCCCCCGCTGTCGAGACTGCCGGTGCCTCCTGCGCCACTGCTGCCACATCCCCCTCCTCCTGCAATACCCCCGGGGAAGGTGATCGTAACCTCAGTTGTCGAACCGCCGTCGATCTCTAGAGAAGCCCTTGCGGAGTCAAGGAGGATGCCAACTCCTCTATCTCCGCCTGTGTGGTGGCCGGCTGAAGAGGCGAGACAGGGGTGGGCGGTGCAGGACTTGGCGCAGGAGGTGGCTGAACGGTTGGCCCTCGCCCCGCAGGAGTAGGAGTGGGCCTCCCTGCCTCTGCGCGGCTCGTGTCGGCATGAGAGGCCCCGCCTCTGTCAGCACGCACATCACCCGTGGAAGCCACCTCCCCGAAAGGGCCCCATAAATCCTCGTCCCCCCCTGTATCTCCCTCTCTGCACGGTCCGCTGCCCGTCGTGTCGTGTATGTCCTCACCTCGGCGTCATTGGCCTCCTCATGCGTCTCGTTGATCTCGCTGGGGATGGGCAGCACAGGGTCATCTACTCCCTCGGGTGTAGGCTCCTCATCCGAGTCATCGTCGCTGGGGTACGGACGAAAAATGCAAGCACGTCTCTGGAAAACGGCATCTGATTCAGCAGATGGCGGTGCGGAAGACCCGATGGGATCGCGAGTAATAAGCGCAACCTGCTTTGCAATCTTCACCACCGTCATCCCCTGGCGCAGGCCCGTGCGCACCGGCTCAACCTCCAGTCCTGCCTGGCAGTCCAATATCCCCTCGTCACGCTGCCATAGCAGCACGTAACCACATCCTGCCCGACGATACTCTGTCAACCGCACATTTGCGGTGATCTCAACGAGTTGCACGACCTTCTCAAAGACCAACCTGTTGCGCTTCTTCATGTGGATGCCCTCGTGGACTGCCCAGTTCCACTCCGCTGGAGAGGCGCAAGACCACATGTGCATCACACGAAGAGCGCACCGCTGCAACTCAGGGGCGCCAGCCCCGTACTGGGACCACCAAGACGAGCACTCGATCGTCTCGGCGTCACCGCTACACGCGCGCCCACGAGCACGCCCCTCCGGCCCGCCCCAATCACCAAACCTGCCCTGCTGCATGTGGAAGTCCTCGAACTGCCGGCAGGCAAGGAGGTACTCCGCACCCTCCAACTCGAAACCCGTCTGCGTCAGAATGTACCTCTTGGCTTGCCTCACAAGCCAAGCATGGTACTCCTGCACCTCGCCGGAAAAATATCGAACATGTCGCCTGCGGGGGTTCGGTAAGAACCCAGCACAGTGGGCCGGCTCTAGCATGTGCTGCGTACGTGCCTGCACACGCTTGATGATCCGGTCTGCGATCGAGGACCCCAGAGGAGCGCATGCCTCCTTCACCCGCTGCACAAGATCCTGTGCCCACTCGAGCATGAGCGACATGTACTGCCCTCCACGATCCATCCGCCGGAACAACTGTATCACGGGCTCCATGATATGGATGATGATGGCCACCCTCTGCCACCAAGGATCCCATCTGATATGTCGGCGCACCCAACGTGCCATGTAGCAAACATTGGCAGACCACGGGATGGAGGCAAAAGCCCGAGCGTCGTCCCCTCGCATCATGTCCTGCAAAGTGTCCTACAGGGCCATGAGCCTCTCCAACATGGAGTACACAGACGCAAACCGCGTCTCGCATAAAAGAACAAGACCGAGGTTGGGGTTGCGCTTCCTCAAAAAATGAAGGGCCGCCTGGTGGGTTTTGAAAAACACCACCAGCACACGAGCGCGTGTGATAGTATCAAGAAACACGTCGCAACACTTCCCTATGTCTGACGACAATTTGTTGCAGACATGAACTGAGCATGGGAGCCAGGTGATCCTCCTCAATGCTGCAGGCATGGTCTCCGAGGTTAGAGCCCTGGCAGCCCTAACCGTCCCAACGTACGCTGACGCGGAGTCAGTGCATATCGCATTGACCCGCTGCGGCCCGCCAAACCTAACTCGTGGAAAATGGTCACCCATCTCCGAAGGACGTGCTCAGCATCGTCTGGCTCCCCCTCTCGATTGATCGTCGTGTACATGACGACCCCTCGAGACCCTGCGGCGAGGAAATTAACGATCGGTCTCCTGTCTCGTGATTTCCTCCCGTCTAAGAGGATGGTGGCGCCGGTCACCCAAAATGGCTGCCTCACCTCCTCCAACTCCTCGGCCAACTCCGCACGGTGCCTCTCCACTGCCTGCATGCTCGCAATCTCGTTGTGGTTAGGGAGTACAGCGCGCGGCGAACTGCCACGCTGCTGAAGAAGCACGCGGCTAACTGCCAGGCTGCTGAAGAAGCATCTGCTGATATGCCCTCCATGCCTCATTGCGAAAGACATTGAAGGAAACCCCGCTGGAATAAAGCCAGCGAAGCAGGGCCTTCTTGTGGCGAGCAACCCACTTGCCACCGTATACCTCATCCACCTTCTGTTGTCTAAGCCTCTTTCCAGCTTGGGTGGTAGCCGGAACAGCTCCCCCTTCGTTCCTCTTGAAAGAACCCTCCCCCGACGGATCCTGCGCAAGAGGCAGTTGCCCCCTGCCCCCTTGCCGCTGCCAGTCCACGATCCTCTCCCTCGCCAATGGATCGAACTCGGGCTGATCCTCGTGTCCCAGGAATCCCTCCCGGGACGTGCCACGAGCCTCGCGATCGTCGATGATCACGTCCCCCTCGATGCCATCGCCTCTACCAACAGCGATTTCGTCAAAACGAACATTTTATATTTTTTGAACGAAATTGAAATTGTCATTTTCATGGTTATTTTAAGTGCAAAAAGCATTTGAAAATCGAGGTATGGGGTATTGGGTAAGGGGTAAGGGGTAAGGGGTAGGAGGTAAGGGGTTTAGGGGTAAGGGATAAGGGGTAAATGGCAAGGGGTAAGGGGTAGGGGTCTGGAGCAATGTTTGTCACCTTCTATACACTGTTTCTGTTACACACAATTTAATGTTACCCACATCCGTCCGCATGTAATCACAATATCCAGCAACAGGTACATACTACTCACGAGCCACTGTGTCCAAAGCCATCCGACAACGTATTGCAGGTATGTCATCATCGGTGAAAGAGAAAGGTGGACGGTGACCCCTTGCCAACAGCGATGCGTATGCGATCATGAAGACCCCGCACGAGCTAGTGTCACGTTTTTTCGGGACGCCCTCTACGTTCTATATGTGATTAAACGGTTTTGTGTCCACCTCTTTGCCTTCCTCAATCGATCTTTCGAATAGAAACCTTGCAAATCCGCCGGTCACTTTTCGTGCCAGTTCTATGTGAGGGCTGAGGGAGTCGTAGAATTTGAATTTCCTCCTCCTGAAGTCAGCCACAACGAGGGTCCAGTAGTTCATGTGTGCGATATGGAAAGGGGAAATTACCAAGTCCATGTCACTTATTTTGACGTCATTCGACCAGTGCTGCACCTTTCGCTCTTGATATCTCATATCGCTGTCGAAAAGTTTGGCAAGGAAAAATGACTTCACCACCGATGATCTGGGAATGCGACCCTTTCCTGTTCTAATCATGGTTTCGTTCTCTGCGTCGCATTCTACGTGTGTGATTCTACAGCAGTTGTCCAATGCGATGAGGTTAAGGTACAAGTTGACGACGTTGTCATTTAACCAGTTCCGTTCGCCGACTAGTAAAATAAAATCGTCTCGACTTAGCTTCAATACTTCGTTCGTCCCGTGATTGTGTGTGCTTGCTATTGGATACCTATTCTCGTACTCCCGGATGACATGCGAGAGTGTTTTCATCTCCTTCTCTGATAAAGACGACGTTACGAGGCGCATTGTCCACCCTCTTTTGCAGTTTCTTGCTTCCGTTGTTGTAATTTGTACTGCACACGACAATCACGACGAATACGACATTGACGGGGGTGTAAACAATAGTGGTCGAGTGGGGGGGAGGGGGTGTGTAAAAAACGGTCGCCCAGACGGGGGTGAACAAAGACGGTGGCCTAGGCGGTGAAAACAACGGGGAGGGACTGGATGTGAGATACTTGTACATGGGCAAGTGTCTTACCATACCATGAGCAACAGAATCAAAGTATTCAAAATATGTCATCAATGTTTCTCTAATTTTACGCTTAGATTAACGACATTGATGTATGCAATCAATCATTCCATACTCCTGCCCCCTCCCGTCACCGTACCGCAAACGCATACATGCATATACATACCGCCATAGATCGACGAATATAAAGAGACACACACGCATACTACGACACACTCCTGTTGACCGCACAATTTAATTGGCAACAATGAAATGGCCAAATCCCAATAACTTAGATTGAAAACAAATGAGTCGACGACCCAATTGTCTACAGGAGTAAATCCCACCCACAAACCTAGATTTAAAACAAATGAGGAAACAAATGAAAACATTCACTTTCCCCACGAAGAGGATTTCCTTCGAGTTCATTTCCTGTCTCACCCCTCATTTTCTACATGTGTGGGATCGATCATGCCCTTTACACCTTCTGCCCCATCCTCATCGTCCGTGGTCATGTCCTCAATATGGCGAGAACGTTGAGACCCCTCTGCATTCCCGGCGTCCCCGTCATCCCCTACGTCCCCTCGCTGTGGTGTTGTTGTACAGTGTGCGTCACCTTTGCTAGTGTGTGAGGGCGGATGCAACGACATTCCCGTGATGTCCATCCCAACAGCGGACTCCGACACTATCTCTGATCTGCCTGCCATTGCCGCACCTGTCACGAGGAGACTCCCGTATGTGGCGCCCGCATCCGATGGCTTGTCGAATAACACATGTCCACCTTGTGATGTATCCCCCATTTCGACAGAGATGGCTATGATGGGCTCTTTGCCTGCGGACGTGTTCCCCACCTCTGGCAAAGGAGGCTTCAAGGTGGACATGGTCCCGACATCTTCCCTTTGTTCACCCTTCGTAATCCCTGCCGCTGCCTCGAACACAAGAGCGGCATCTTCTCGGGAGTCCACCTCCATGCTCTTGGCCGAGGCGGTGCGGTCGACCTTCCAGTCGATTGATCCGCGCGAGGGGCTCGTCTGCAGCTCGTAAAACTTGTGTGTGTACTCTAACTGCTGAGTGGCGCGCAAGGCATTGAACAATTGTTTCGCCTTTGTTGTGATGGAGTTTTCGCTCTCCCCGGGGTTTTCTTTCCGCACGCAGTATAAAATTGCCTGCTCCGTCGTTTTCAACCAGCTGTCCTTTCCCATGCGGGGAAATGATTTCCAACCCTTTACATACTTCACCGCCATCTTCCACTCCCCGCCTTCGATGCATGGCTGGAAAATGCCGTCATGCCAAATTATATCATGGCCCCACTTGTCCTCCCCAGTCGGGGTGTGTTTGTCCTCCAAGAAACGCATAGTGTCTGGGTCCGCACAAAAGTCATGAGGAATCGGATCGCCCGGCGCCAGCTTCGTTGCCTGAGCAGGAATATCAAGTTCATCGTCCTCACCTTCTTCCATAGGCGTACACGCCACCCGGTCCACCATCGAGGCCACACTGTTCGTGGGTGGCGGGTTCGAGCATCCCTCTGATCTACCCGGTCCATATTCCTTGCCGTCGTGCTCCATGGCAGCGGACTGCCCACGCCACCCGGTTGCATTGGTGTCATTTCCAATGTCGAGGTCGAAATCCGCCGAGTCTTCCTCGCTATCGACGGGGTTAAAGCCTTCACCCGATTTAGCGAGGTCTGCATAGTCCTTGAACATGAGTTGATCTTTGTGAAGATCGAACTTCAAGATCTCGCATCGAGCAACGAATGTCTCGAAGGCGCCAGTCAGAGCACCGTGATAATGTTTGAGGGTCTCTGTCACCTTGGTTTTCTTATATATATATCTCCCGTCAAGACGTCCCTCCGGCGCATCGCGGAACAGGTATTCCCACACCTTCAGTCTCTTTCGTCCCAACTTGTGGTACATATCCCTGTTGGTGCGGTATGTGGCACGGGGCTTCTCGAGCCGGTACTCGAATTTCTCCTCCTTGACGAGTATGTCGATGACAAGTATGCAATGTCCTTGGGCGACTCGTCCCACGCAATGACATTATTACCTGCAAGCAAGAACTCCCATACAAGACCCGTGTGCGCCCTACCCAGCAAAAGGACACCTTCCGCCTCTCCGACGAACGAACTACACAACTTCCGCAACTTTTCGGGTTCTCACTCCCAAACCGAATACACAACACTTTCGTCACCTTCGATGCCACCGTGTTTTCACTGACACTTCCCGAACTTTTCCTCCACAACATGCACCTTGGTGAGATCATTGTGAAGCCGGGGCGCGACAGTTACTTTTTTCATATCCCCTCCTTCAGCGCGCAGCACGATGGTCATCAAGTCCCGACTCGTCGTAGCGATGTTGCCGTACCTTGTTACGTCACTCGATGGCCTGTCCACGCGTTTCCAGGACCCAAGGATGAGTTCGATGTCCTCCCAGCGGAACAAGTGACGCAAGACATCGCTTTACACCTTCTGCGGTGCAAAGAAGAAGAGGACTCAATTCCGACCACAACACTTCTCCATTATTTTGTACAACGCATCGAAGTCGTGCGAGGTCCATGCACTGCTGAAATTCGTGGCCAAGATGTCGATGATGGTGACCCTGACTGTCATTTTTTTCGCGGAGGCGACGACGTCGTCAGGTGCTGCCAATACTTCCTTTGTCCGCATGCATACCGAAAGCAATGTCGTCTGCCTGCCGAGTTTGTGCCAAACAAGATGGCATGCACTAGAGGCGATTCGTTTCACCTCCGCTCGAAGCAAATCGAGCTTATCGATAATGGTGTATATAAACACCTTGAAGTGAAACGAAGCCTCCTTGTACATCACTTCTGTTGGCCCCAAGCCCGCACCTTATCTTGCCTCCTCCACTCCTTCAAGTCGTCGAGGGACCGGCTTCACTTTGTTGCTATGCAGCTTCTCTCATTCCTTCTCCCATTCAGCTGCGCATAGCCCGCTCCCTGCATACCTCTCTTCGAGGTCCTTGTACGACATGAAGAAGTCGTCGTTCCACTCCTCATCACCCCTTCCCTCGGCGCGGAACACGACATAGTTGAACATGTGAATCATGTATCTCTCTTTGCGCATAATATCGAGGAGACACGCTGTGTTCACCCGCGGAGGCGTGACTTTGACATTTGTTGCCACCACTTTCCCCTTCATGAGCAGGAGTAGCGCGACTTCTCGCTCACGACATGTCATATCCCCGAAGTTCTTGAAGTAAGAAGGACACAAATCCTTCCAGGACACGGTGGAGCCTTTGGGACCATCTCTTGCATATATGCAGTGATGCAACAACCTTTGTCCCTTGCTCTCGTCGGTGTACGGGCCGGGAAGGCGCCCCTCCATCCTCCCCGGCATGTCAAGCGGGATCTTGTCGTCGCCGATTGGCAGCTTACCCTCCTCAAACATCGAGAAGAACCTCTTCACTAGTGGCCAAACTGTGACTGCGGACGTGGCGAGGTTCATGTACCCTCGGAGTTTATTACTCCAATCTTTACTGTATTCATTGTCCAGCGCCTGTTTCATAAACGCCTTGTCGCACGCCTTCCCCATGGAGGCCCTGAGAAAGTTTTGCCACTTTTTCTCGTGCGCCACGGCGTCTGCATCTTTCTCGCTGACCTTAGCTTTGGGGGCCTCTATCCTGTCGTTGTCGATCCACCATTGCCTCATATCACGCACAGTGTCTTGGAATAACAGCCATTTCGTCAAAACGGACATATTATATTTTTTGAACGAAATCAAAACTGTTTTTTTTTGCCAAAATCCGGTCGGAATTTTTTGCTCTTGGGGGTCCGGCGTTCCCAAAATGTCGGGCCCCCCTGGTCTATGGTTGAGACCAGATACGAAAAAATAAAAAATAAAAAAAAAATTGTATCTGGTCTCAACCATAGACTAGGGGGGTCCGACGTTCCCCAGGATCAAAAAATTCCGACCGGATTTTGGCAAAAAAAGTCGGTTTTTATTTCATTCAAAAAATATAATATGTCCGTTTTGACGAAATGGCTGTTGAATGATAACATTATGGCGCGGTTCTCCCGTGTGTTGTCAAAGGCGGAGACATTGAAGTACCCTCGTGTATGGTCATCGTCGAAAAAGACGACTCGCACTTTCAAGTATGCGCGAAGGCCATAGACTTTGACCGCGGCGGAGTCCTTTTCCACCAATCGTTTCATGGCCTCGACGGTATGCTGACCACAGACTGCGTACCAATCGAACTCTGCAGAGTCTCTTTGGAAAAACTCATCCGGCGTGATTCGCCTTCCCTATCCGTCGATGACGACGTTGGGGTCAACTTGCGCAAGAACAAGGTCAGGTCTATCCCACGCCCCCGGTTCAACAGTTATGGAGCTTTCTATGGCATTCACGATGCCTCTCGCAATGTTCTCAGACAATGAACGGTGGTTGTAGAGGATAGGCCCACGGGGAATGCGTTTGATTCTTGTGACGTCGACGTTAACAACATGGACGTCTTGCCTGGCAAAGCCTTGGTCGTCGTATTCGAGAAAGAAACATCGTGTTGTGTCTAGGGGTGCGGCATGCTGAACGAGGTCGTCGACATCTTCGGGCATGCGAGGCCTCACCCCCTTGCCCTCATCCCCCGAGTCCCGCATCTTATGTGTCCTGGCCCTCTGCAAGCCTCTCCTACCGCCGCCACGACCGCCGCCACAACCCCCGCCACGACTGGCACTTGCCCCCCCCCCGCCACCCGTCCTTGTACCCCGCACCTCCTGGGATGCCGTCAACGCTCCACGAGCCTCGTTGACGGCGTCAGCCCTCGCCTATTTCGATTGACTCGCAGGAGAGGTTGTCGCTTCTCCCCTTTTCCTCTTTCCCCGTGAGGCATTTTTGTCTCTTCCATCCCTCGCCTGGTTATGCGACTGCGACACCCCTCGGGAGGTCCCAGGCTGGTCACCACCACCATCCGCTACAGCGCCGCCGTAGGCATCAACCCCACGACACGCCCGCGAATCGTTTCCGTCGCGTGGACGCCCACATTGGGAGAAGCGAGTGTCATCGAATCCCTCACCACCGACGTCTCTCTCATCGTCCATGCCATTGTCCTCACCGTCAACATCTCGTTCGTCACCGTCGTCCCCCTCCTCACCACCGCCCTCCCGCTCTTGCCCCTCGCTTTCGTCGTCGTCGAAAACACCTGTACCTCCCCGGCAACGATGTTGTGGACCAGCCAGATGGCGCAGAGCTCCGTCGTCGTAGTTTGTGGCCTCGCTGGACTGCTCCGCTGCATCGCCACCTTGTCGATCGGAGGGCGAAACCGGAGGGGGGAAAGGTCGGGCGACTGCATCGGACGAAAGCGGGGCAGTCGGCAATTGTTTCCTCTTTGCACCCGCTTTTGCCGGCGGCTCATGGGGACGTTTGGACCCCGCGTCAATGGGCAGGAAAACATAATCAACTTGCTGGGCAGCAGGCAACCTCGCGAACTGTTCCCTGTATCGCATGACGACAGGTGCCAGCTGGTCCGTCGGGCTGTTGAACTGGACCAAAGGTTTGCTAAGCAAGAAAGTGCTGTCGACAACGGGGAGGGACCCAGTGACGCGGTAGCCATTGGTTTTGGAAAGAAACTTTTCAGGATCCAGCATTTGGAACGTTATTGCGTTCCCGCGCACGTCAAACACTTTCATCGACAAAGCCTTGACCCCGTAACCTTGGAAGAGCCCAAGGTCAAGAGACACCTTCTTGTCTTCCTTGACCCAGTTCTTCCCCTCGCCGTCATAGACAGACGAAAGGAAGAAGGTCCTAAACTTCCTGCCATCGTAGTTAGTCCTCCCCGCTTCTAATTTCTCCACACCTCCTCAACAGTACCAACTCCCGCCGTTGTCATCGCTCAAGAACATGATGGCTCCACAACCGGAAGTATGAGGACCACCAACCCAGTCAAGAGCCCAGGGTTTATCATTGTAAAGCTTAGACCTGTCGTATGCACGTGGTCCCGGGACAGAGGCCGAAGCTGATTTACCTGAAGGAAGCCAGGGGGAAAAAAAAGAAAAGACAACAAGAGAAAGGAATTGAGTGACCTGAACGAGCATTTGTTGCCTGAACACCACAACAAGGGGCACCAACACCAACACGCTCGATCCGGCGTTCAGGGAACGCCGAACCCCTCGGCGGTGTGGACGACATTAGTTTCGTCGGAGCACTTTGTGTCGCGCACCGCCGATGGGTCCCCGTCCCTCTCCCGCACCGCCGTGGGGTCCCTGTCCCTCTCCCACACTGCGGAGGGTTCCCCGTCCCTCTCCCACACCGACGAGGGGTCCCCGTCCCTCTCCCGCACTATCAAGGGGTCCCCATCCCTCTCCCGCACCGCGGAGGGGGTCCGGCGTTCTGGGAACGCCGGACCCCACACGTGACCGGCGCTGGGGTCCGGCGTTCTGGGAACGCCGGGCCCCCTCGTCGCTCTGGTCGAAATCGTTTCCAATGTCGGGTCCCATCCCTTTCCCGCACCGCCGAGGGGGCCCGACCAACCCCGTCTCGCCCAAGACGGCGCGGAAGAGGGAGGCTGTCAGTCCAACGCCGCACGTCTCCCGCACCGCCAAGGAGGGGTCAGGCGTTCCCGGAACACCGGACCCTTCACGCGTGACCGGCGCTGGGGTCCGGTGTTCCCGAAACGCCGGACCCCCTCGGCGGCGCGGGRGAGGGRGGGKGTCAGTCCAACGCCGCACGTAGTCTGTGGCCTCCGAGGGAACCCCCCCCCCCCCCCCYCGTGCCCGGCGCTAGGGTCCGGCGTTCTGAGAACACTGGACCCCTCGGCGGTGCAGGAGAGGGACGGGGCCCGACCAACCCCGTCTCGCCTGAAGCGGCAAGGGGGTCCGGCGTTCCCGGACCCCTGCGCCAGTCACGCGTGGAGGGTCCGGCGTTCTGGGAACGCTGGACCCCCTCGGAGCTGCGGGAGAGGGAGGGTGTCAATCCAACCCCGTCTCGCCCGAAGCGGCAAGGGGGTCGGGAACGCTGGACCCCTGCGCCAGTCACGCGTGGGAACGCCGGACCCCCTCAGCGCTGCGGGAGAGGGTGGGTGTCAGTCCAACCCCGTCTCGCCCGAAGCGGCAAGGGGGTCCGGCGTTCCCGGAACGCCGGACCCCTGCACCGGTCACGCGTGGAGGGTCCCGCGTTCTGGGAACGACGGACCCCCTCGGCGCTGCGGGAGGGGGAGGGTGTTAGTCCAACCCCGTCTCCCTCAAAGCGGCAAGGGGGTCCAACATTCCCGGAACGCCGGACCCCTGCGCCGGTCACGCGTGGAGGGTCCGGCGTTCTGGACCCCCTCGGCGCTGCGGGAGAGGGAGGGTGTCAGTCCAACCCCGTCTCGCCCGAAGCGGCATGGGGATCCGACGTTCTGCGCCGGTCATGCGTGAAGGATCCGGCATTCTGGGAACGCCGGACCCCCTCTGCGCTGCGGGAGAGGGAGGGTGTCTGTCCAACCCTGTCTCGCCCGAAGCGGCAAGGGGGTCCGGCGTTCTCGGAACGTCGGACCCCTGTGCCGGTTACGCGTGGAGGGTCCAGCGTTCTGGGAACGCCGGACCCCCTCGGCGCTGCGGGAGAGGGAGGGAGTCAGTCCGACGCCCCACGTCTCCTGCACCGCCGAGGGGGTCCGGCGTCCCCACAAGGCATTGAGGGGAGAGGGAGATCGATCCCTCTCCACACCACCTGCGCACAGATTCGTGAGTGACATGGCGCCGCCAGCATATTTTCGATTTCCAACATTTTCGAAAAAAAAAAGAAAAAAAAAAACGGTGAATTGTCGTGGGAGATTAAGGGGAGAGGGAGATCGATCCCTCTCCACACCATGTGCACACAGATTCGTGAGTGGCATGGCGCCACCAAACATCTTTTCGATTACCAGCATTAAAAAAAAAAAAGAAAACAAAGTAAAAGGGGAGATCCCCACGGGGCATTGAGGGGAGAGGGAGATCGATCCCTCTCCACACCACCTGCGCACAGATTCGTGAGTGACATGGCGCCGCCAGCATATTTCCAACATTTTGGAAAAAAAAAAAAAAAAAAAAGGTGAACCCTGTGGGAGAGTAAGGGGAGAGGGAGATCAATCCCTCTCCAGACCATGTACGCACAGATTCGTGAGTGGCATGGCGCCACCAAACATCTTTTCGATTACCATCATTAAAAAAAGAAAAAAAAAAAAGAAAAAGGGGAGATCCCCACGGGCCATTGAGGGGAGAGGGAGATAGATCCTTCTCCACACCACCTGCGCACAGATTCATGAGTGACATGGCGCCGCCAGCATATTTTCGATCTCCAACATTTTCGAAAATAAAAAGACAAAAAAAAAACAGTGAATCGTCGTGGGAGATTAAGGGGAGAGGGAGATCGATCCCTCTCCACACCTGTCCAACATTTTCGGAAAAAAAAAAAACAAAAAACAAAAGGTGAATCCCCGTGGGAGAGTGAGGGGAGAGGGCGATCGATCCCTCTCCACACCATCTGCACACAGTTTCGTGAGTGTCATGGCGCCAAGAGCATCTTTTCGATGTCCAACGTTTTCGGGGGGGGGGAAAAACAGAAAAACGGCCAATGCACATGGGAGATTGAGGGGAGAGGGAGATTGATCCGTCTTACCTTTGTTTGCCATGGCCGATGAAGACGCTGCACAGACCCCCCCCCCACGGCGAATGGAGCTGCAGATCTCTCTCTCTCTCTCTCTCTCTCTCTATATATATATATATATATATATATATATATATATATATATATATATATATATATATATATCGCATGCGCGCGCGCGATCGCAGTCTTGCTATCGGGGCCAAAAGGAATTGCTGTGTGTGAGGCCAGTAGAAAACTCCCCGTTCCAAAGAGCAGAAATGGAGTGTGTGAGGCCAGTAGAAAACTACCGGTACCGCGGGACTGGCAGAGCGGCCTAACTACGCTGGTACCCAGTAAAGGTTTCAACCTAAAGGGTACCGTTCCAAGTTTCACTGACAAAACGGACCGGCATTTTTCTCATTTTCCGAAAGTGGCCTGCACATCACCCACCGCCCATTTTCGCGCCTGCCAGCACCCAGCGCCTATTGTCGCGCCTGCCATCACCCTGCGCCCATTGTCGCGCCTGCTAGTAGCCAGTTGCAGCACCCGTCACAGCAGCGTTTGCAGCCGCGAGCCTAGTCGGCCAGCGCCCATTGCCCAACGCCCGCCGGCCAGTGCCCAGCGTTCTTGGAGCCCACCGGTCAACACCCAGCGTTTGGCGACGTTGCAAGAGACGTAAGCTCTCTCTTTCTCTCTCTCTCTCTCTCTCTCTCTCTCTCTCTCTCTCTCACACACACACAC